TAATGCTCAGAGCCCAGGAGAGCCGGGGTCCCTGCCACGAGGTGGCACTGACACCCCACTCTGGCCCGTATGGCTGCAGTGCTGTGGGGGAGCTGCATGGGAGGGTGAATGCCCAAATGGAGCAAGGGGAGCCAGGGAGGGCCAGGCAGGCTGCTGGCCAGCCCTGCTTTGGCCAGACAGAAGGGTGACAGCTGGGCCGGACTCTGTCCACACAGAGCCATTGCCATGGCCTCTGCGCTGCCTGTGACAAACAGCTGCTGGTGGATCTAGCTGTAGCGCCCATCACCATGGCCTCTGAGCTGCCCAGCAGAAGTGGCCATTGGACACCTGTGGGCAGAGCAGGCACAGGGTGATCGGACAACCAGAGGCAGAGCAGGATGTAGCGAGCTGCTGCTCCTTCCCCCAGCAGCACTGAGCACCTCTACCATCGCCCTGCTCCGTCCCCAGTGGTGTCAGTCCTCCCCAGGGACTCCCCAGGACAAAGACCTGCCAGCCAGCACCTCCTTTCCCCATCCCCTCGCCATGACCCTCTACCAAAAATGAAGCAACTGTGCTACCCACAAAGTTCCCCAGCTGGAAAAAACCCAGGCTGGGGAGAAGAGGCTGCCCGGCCCCTGCACGAGGCTGTTGGGGGACCACCGCCTTCCTGATGCCGCTCATCAGCAGCCCTCCCTAATCGCTACCCACTGCCTAATGACAGTAATTAAGAAGAGCAAAGCTGCCTGAGGACTGGAAGCGCTGACAGAGTTGCGGGAGCCAGATGGTGTTCGCACTTAAGGAAAGATTTAAAAAAAAAAAAAAAAAGAAGAAAATAAATACCACTCAGCTTTGATCAGCCTCCCTTTCCTTCACTTAGTGTCAGGATCACTTTGGTCCACGGGTGCACTGGGGAGATGCTGAGATGTGGCACTGGCTGCCTTCTCCCCACCCCCATCCCCAGGTGTTGTAGGGTGCTGGGGGAGCTTTTTTTTGGGCACGGTGCCCACCTGGGTGCCCTGCACCAAGGGGGTTTCCTTGCCGCCTTTGTGGGCCAATGTTCTCCCCTGGGGCCACCCCCGCTGCTCCCCGCTTTGCTGGCTGTGCTCGGCGAGCATTTTCCCAGGGGGATAAGTGAGGGGGACAGCCAAAAACCTCCCCGAGGAGCTGTGGGAAGCGGGCAGCAGCTACACTGGCAGAAAGGGCTGCCCCTGTTTTCGGGAGGTGAAGGGACAGCCCCATACTTTCCCCAGCACCATGG